ACCTACAATCGATTGGTGCATAATCCAATTGACTAATGCTCTGACAAATGTGATCACCATATAACTGCAAATAAGCATTCCATAAGAATGCTTTAACTGCTGTCCCTGACCATATCCAGTTCAACACTGTCCTAAAGTCTGCTTCAGTTTGGAATGGAAAGAATGACTATTAGAACTTAAAAGTAAACATCTGGTCTTAAAGGGACATCTGGCTTGATAGAAATGGGAATATTACTAACTCTTTACCTCCCCACCTTCTCCCCAATAAATGCTGAACATTTTGTTCTGAGTGATTCAGATACTGCTTTCACACTCAGATTTGAACAGAAATGTAGATAATGAAATTTAAATTATAACTCTAACCTTCCTGAAATATCTATGTTATGAACTTCCATGGCCCTTTTGCTGGACAGGGACCTATTATATAGACTTAAACACACATTTGAATATTTATCAGCATGCTGATAAATAAAAGAAAGGAATGAGTACAATATAAAGGAACACAACTTTCACAGATATTCTTCAGACACCTGAAAATGAGCCCCTGTGTGGTTATGTTGTTTTGCCCACAGCAGAACACTGGATGACTCTTTCAAGAAAAGAAACTGGTTGAGCTGAAAAACTATAGCCCTGGCTAAGATTAACTCATTAGTGGCAAAGTTGTCTAAGATTAGCCTCCTTAGCGAAGGAATTTTTTAACCTGTAACAGGAGCTCATCATTATGTGCATCTTTGTTTCCAACTAGCTGACTAAGATCATGGAATCATATCATGAAGATATATTTCCGATGTTAAATACTTGTACTTTAATCAAAGTGATCTTGCGGCACTCACACTGTGACTGAAAATTGTGAAATTGTCTCTCCCATGCACTAGAGCAACTCATTTCTAATCCATTAAAATTACTAAAGATTTGCAGAAATTTTAACATTACAGAGTATTTTAATACTTGCAAGGTCATGGGATGCGAACAGCAAGAACCCGTAGGATGAAACAGTTAGTAATGAATTGACAGTCTATTTAACATACCCCCCAAACTTCTTCTTTAAAGAAAAAGAAATTTGGGTTGATCTAAAGTAAATCATTAGAAACTTTTACAACAATTATATAACTTGTATTTAAAATGGGCACTAGAGAGTGAATGAGACGCAAACTGAATTTTTGGTTAAAGCATATTAACATGTTGCTCAAAACCAGACTCATAACTTATGACTCACTCCAAGATTATATAACATTTATCCTGTCTGTAAGCATCTGATACATTTCACGCAATTCTTTAACAACAGATCCATTTTGATTGTTGTTCATTCTTCTCAGAGCAATACATGTTCTGCATACAGCAATATTAAAATGAACAATACAATTCAACCTAGTGTGACATTAAGCAGAAACTTCAGTCATAGCATGATATTATCCAATAGTAACTTGGGTACAGTTGTTATATTCTTAACCAAAGGCAAGGGGTTAAGAAATTCATAAGGAGTTACTGTTAATATAGCACATTTCTGAGCATTCCAATTACTGTAGTGCTATGGTCATCCTTGACTTAATTTATTGGTGATGTTTTGAAATGACTGAGAATTCTGAAGCCACAGGACTGCTCAGCAGGTTCATGTTTAATACACCAGCTTTAAAATCCAACATGCCCAGGGTAATAAATGGAATATCATCTATTTAATGCTATTAATATGGCCACATGCTTGAAAGAAATGTATGTTGCTTTTGTACATTTAGTGCTACAGCCCATATCCCAACATTATTTATGTAGGCTACACAGTCCCAGCTCTCTAAGAATGTCATTTGAAATATATTGCTTTGCTCAGGAGTGGTGTACACATACACATTAAAAGCGTTTGAATCAATTGTAGCAAATGCATTAAAACTTCATTAGAAAATACAATAAAAAGAAGCTTTCTGACTATCAACTCTCCATTTTTATTAGGTTTCTACAAGCAAGAGTTTTCTCCTGAATGGCTGAAATCAACTTGCCGTGATCTGCTCTTATAACAGTATCAGTGACATTCACCATTGCGGTCATTTTTTTTTGCAGTATCTAGCCTATAAATTGTCATTGCATGGATATAGTATAACTGGCCTTTTATGAGTCATGCTAAATAACAAGTTCCAGGTGTGTATTATTTAAGAAAATGTCAAATCCTATGTTGGAAATCTATAATCACCAGTAATGTTGCTTGCATGATACTGATCGTATTGCTGCATGCTCTGTGCAAAAATAGCTTTCTCTTTGCTGATGACAACTGGGAGTTGACAATATAGGTCTTGATTTTTCATTGGATGCTGTGGCACATTCTTGCTGATGGGTACCTCTATCAACCAAGCCATTGGTGTATTTCACATTAGCTGTCACTAGCAAACTGAAATACACAAGTCTCTGATCATTGGAGCTGAGGTGGCATATAGTCCAGTCACAACTGGAAACCTACGCACATAGGTGATCAACTACTTCAATCACAGCAGTGACAAACTAATTTTCATGAAAACTTTTTGAACAACAAAAAAAAAAGGACAGCCACTTGACCCACTGGATGTAGCGTTAGGAATACTTCCAGCATCGTTGTCCTCAGTCACATGCCCGAGGGAGAACCTGGCACATACACTTGACAAAGCTATCCTTTCATCTTCTTCCTCAAATCCTGCACACTGAAAGGAAAAGAATCCCTATTCAAACTACCATAGGTACGTGGCTCAGTTGTAGCCATTCTGCCTCTGGAAAGAACACAATAAATGGACCACCTAATATGGAAATCTACATGCTATCTTTGAAAAAATGCATTGCACTCTGTAACAACAATAATGACAAATGGAGGGCATCTTTTCCCTTTTCTGCCAACCTTTATTTCCCAAACCAGTCTTTTTCTAAATCTATTGACCCCTCTGAGGTTCAGTCAGTTGCTTTCCAAGATTTTGCCTAAGTGGTCATTATTCAACTGTGAATCTGAGTCTTGACAGACAATTCAATCACTGTGGCATCAAAGCTGAGCTTAATTCTGTTCTAATGGATGCTGAGGTAATTTTAGTTTTGTTACCCTCAGCATGACAAGGTCAACTATTCCTTTATCTCATGGATCATTTCTCACTTCCATAACTATCCGTGGTACAGGAAAGCCAATGATAATTTCACTGGCACATTCACCACTGGTGACAGATGTTTCTACCTCAAACACTAATATTTCATTATCACAACAGAGGCAATATCCAAATAATTGATCAGATCATACTTTGGCAGAGGTTTTGCTCTTGGTTTGGGACCCTTATATCAGGAGCATTATGGAGTCTGTCACTGTGATTCTTGAAGGTACAGACAATTTGCGGCCAAGGTGTGCATGTACACTGTCCAGTTAAGAACAGTAGGTGGGTTCCCATGGGAACAGGAAGGCCTCCAACACTGACTATTTAGCAGCTCATCAGAGGTGAGTGCTGCCGATACAAATGAGAGACACAAGTGAGCACCACCACAAAGTGGACTCTGAACTCGAGTATGGCTGCTAAATTGTTGTGGGTGTGGTGGGAGGGAGGAGGGAATGTTTAACAAACCAAGTGGCGCACTGCTCTCCCTTAGCCCCTCTCTGTCCAATGCTAGGCAGTCACCACCGTCTTCAGGCTAGATTCAGGGGGCTCCAAGTTCCAACAGTAAAATTCAAAGGGAGGCCATAATGGGCCCATTAATATACTTAATTGGCGACCTGCCACTTGTGGTGCACAACCTTTTCCCACATGAGCTGGCATATTCTGAAATAGCCTGGAGATGAGGTGATGATAACAAACCAGTGCAACAGTTATTGCCAGGAAACTGTGGACCATCTATTCTCTAGTCCCATTTCCTATGAAGATCGAAAAAGTCTGCCCTTTGTGTGCCATTTACACTTTAACTCAACAATGTGTCTTAACACCAACCTCTATATTGTACTTTCCTGATATACCAGTATCATGCTTTCCCTGTTCTCACTCCAATCTTTTAACCTCTCTCAAAGGAGTTACCAGTTTAATGGCAATTTGTGTTGAATCTTGGGCACTTTAATGATATAGATGCGTCCAATTGAGAACTCTATTAAAACTGGCAAATTAACTTCAATTTATGAAATACCACCTGCTACCAACATAGACAAAAACTTACATTCGATTGATCTAGGTTTAGGTCACAGGAGTTAACAGACAGTATTCTATGACAAATATCAGTCTGTGGGTTGGTTGAAATCTGATTACCAAGATATCCAAGTCTTTTTTCTCCATTATGAAATTCCAGTATTGAATGTCTCCAATCTTGCCTATTCCCATGCCGACATCATATTCATAGGATAATATTGATCATCAGACATTTTACTAGTTCCACCTCTGGTGCACCCAGTGGTGCCATATGGTGCAGCTATACTTGTATTGAAAGATAACAGCAGAAAGCGGTCTCAGTCTTCAACATACTTCATTCTTAATCACAAAGCAATTGATTTCAACAACAAAAATGGCAAAAATTAAAATTTGATCGAATTGTCCATTTTTGCTCAATCTCCCTTTCTTGATATAAATGGTGCCAACCCAAAGATTTGGAAATGATTCAGGATTAAGTCACGTTGATGGCTGGATCAGTTTTGATCAGTACACTTTTGCATTTTTTAAGCATTAAAAAGTAAATATTGCTGTCAAATTATCCAGGCTGCAACAGTAGCTACCTAGATCACTATTGATAAAAACTAACACAACTAACTAGTTTTATCATTCTAATAACAAGCTTACCTTAATAAAGAGCCAAAAGGTAATCTAAAGTCAGCACCAGCTTTGCTGATCACTAGTCTGGATGTCTAGCTTAATAGTTTTCCCAAAAGCTGGTAGCTACTCTATGCAGCAGTACTCAATGGATGTGGCTAAGTTCCCCCAGTTATTACGTTCGTTTTAATCGAAGAAGTTAAGTATGGAAAGAGAAAGTTTGGCTTATGAGTGATTAAGACATAAACCAAGAAGATCCTAGCTCAATCTGTATGGAGTTACCTGATCTTGGCCATGAAGAAGGAAAATGGTCTGCAGTGGGCTACAGCCCTGCTGGTTTAGCTGGTAAAATTGGTAAAACCTCCAGCTCTTTATCACCATCCAACAATCACTGTTGGAGTCACCCATGAAACTGCACTCTAGTTTGGAAGAGGAAAGATGGAAATTAACCACATTGTAATAATTTATCATTCACTATCCTATCTGTATTTCCAACCTTCTAAATAACTATTTACTTAACACTGCAATGAAAACCACATCCATAACAATATTAAACCATTACTGAGCCCTTCACAGATCAATGGAAACCAATGCATACTTATGAAGTATTTAGGCCCTTAATTATGCCATGTCACAGATACACAATTGCAAAGTTAGACAAAACTGGAAAAGACTGCAGAATAAAATTTTTAGTCCTAACCAAGTGTTTCTGGTTTTGCGAATTATAGAGATTCACAAATATGACAGAAGGTAAAATTTGAATTCAATAAAAAATCTGGAATTAAAAGAGGCTAACTTAATGGTGACCACATAACCATTGCTGGAAAAGCTCAGGAAGTCTGGCAGCATCTGTGAAGGAAAATACAGAGTTAACGTTTCGGGTCCGGTGACCCTTCCTCAGACCTGTTCTGAGGAAAGGTCACCGGACCCGAAACGTTAACTTTGTATTTTCCTTCACAGATGCTGCCAGACTTCCTGAGTTTTTTCAGCAACTTTGTTTTTGTTCCTGATTTACAGCATTCGCAGTTCTTTCGGTTTTTATTTACCATATAACCATTGTTGATGATCACAAAAACCTATCTGCTTCACTAATGCCCTCTAAGAAAGAAAATATACCCTCCTTATCTGGTCTAATCTACGTGTGACACCAGATCCGCAGCAATATGGCGGACCGTTAAACTGCCTTCTGCAGTTAGGGATGGGCAATAAATGCTGGCCTGGCCAGCAATGCCTACATCCCATGAACAATGTTAAAAAATGCAATGATCACCAAAGGTGTATTCTAAATTAATTTATCACGTGTGTTGTAATGGTGTTTCTTTAAAATAAGAGAATAAAGCAAATATTGAGCGTGCAGTTTTTATTTTGCAAAATTCAAAACTTGGAATGATACTGCATAGGAATATTGAAATAGGAAGTATGCCATTCAACCCCCAAAGCATGCACTGCCATTTGATGAGATCACAGTTAGTCTGTACATCAACCGCGACTTGTCAGGTTTCTCAGAACCATCCCAACTGCTTCACATATAATTAATTATTTGGAAGTATATTCACTGCTATAATGTCAGTGAAAACAAAAACTTTTTTTTTTAAAAAAACATAGCAAAATCAAAACAGAAATTAGATGAAATTCCAGTGAATCCATTTTGGTGCATTTGGTTGAGGTGTTGGAACTCCCCACTCTACTCGGAATCAAACTATGAGATCCTTAATTTATTGCTGGAAGTAGCAGACACAGCTACAGTTTAATCTCTTCTTCGAACCATTTGTAACAAATCAGAGCTCACTAGATTTACACTGAATTATCGACCTAGATTATGTATTCAAGTCCTGAGTAGAATTACAGAAACTAAACATAGATGGAGGAAGCCTAGCCTATCTTGCCTGTACTGGCACAATTCCTCAACTGAAGCCGTCGCTGCATAGAGAGATATTAAGCACTTCATGACGAGAAACACTAATCCATTGTTTCAGGCTGGCTGAAATAGTAGTGAACAAATGTCAAATTCCTTTATCCTCTATTCTAACAGAGCTGTAAATCAAATTTAAATAATGGACAGAGGAATTCATGAAAAATTAACAGACGCACTACAAATATTAAATAATAACCAACCTTATTACCAAAAGATATATTTAACTTCTCCAGATTTACTAAGCATGAAGAGATTACAAATTTTATTTCTCAGTGAAACTAAGGAATGGAATTTTATTTTGTACAGTCTCAAGTGTGTGAATTAGAGCAGCATCGCATTTTTCATTATTAACAGCACTTTGCTGTATTTGAATTCATTCTAAGTGACAATAACTTCAATTTCAACAAAAGTACCATTCTATTCAGTTGTAGGGTAAGAAAACTGAAAGTTTTAAATCAGTGTCTTCCATTGTTAGGAGTTCAGTATATGATGCTGACAAGACATTTCATTGTGGGGGTTCAATAATATGAACTGCAAAATAAAAGTTGAAATATTGTCTTATCCTTGAAATGAGGCTACAGTCCCAACTTCTGTATTAGTTTCTATATAAATAAGTTCTGATTTTGTTTGATTTAGGTCTTGTCATCAATACTGTCCCCCTGAGGTTGTTTAAGCATCCTTGAATACAAAGCATGTTTTTAACTTCACCATTCAGCATCAAAGAATAGAAGTTGCAGCAGTTTTAGGCAAAATTGAATGGATGAAATGTTTAATAAATTCTCAAATCACGAAACATGTGCACATGCACATACTTCAATGTATGGATTTATTTTGGCCTACAAGAAAATTACAGTATTCCCCATACTTTGTTCTCCTCTTGCTTACATTAATGCCATAATTTTAATAACATAACTTCACCATTCATTGCCTTTATTTATGTGCAACTGGATCTTTTGTTCCCCAAGGAATCTAAACAATAGGAGGAACAGAGTAGATCATTCAGCCACTCAAGCATTTTTTTATTACTTAATTAGATTGTGGTTGATAACCATGATCCTAACCGCAGTTTAATTTATACCCCCTTGTTTCAATTCTCTTAATGCTTTCACCTAACCAAAATCTATCACCTTTCTCCAATATTTCAATTGGCCAAACACTTGCAGTCTTTTAAAAACTAGTTCCTAATTCCCAACATCTTTTGTATAAACAAAGTTTCCTAATTTCATTCCAAGGTGATCTAGTTCTAGAACATAAAATTATATTCCTTGTTCTTGACTTCCTCGCCATAGAAAATAATTTGCCGATCTACCATACTGACTTTCTGAATAATTGTAAATACCTCAATTAGGTCATTCTTCATCCATTTAAGCTCAGGAGAATAGAGCCCAGGTTTATGAAATTGGTGCTCAGGATTTAAGCCTAAATATTTATATAGTGCATTAAACAGGGTAAAACATTACAATGGATTCAGAGAACGGTATTCAGACAAAAATTAATACTGAGCACTTCAGAATATTTGGATAAGCTTGGTCAAGAAATATGTCTTCAGAAAGGCCTTACCAGAGGGTAGGAAGGTTTAGAGAACAAATTCTGCAGCACAGGCACAACCACGAAGGAGAACGAACGATAGATGAACAACAGACCAAAGCCAATTAATCTATGTTTTACCATCTAATATATAAATCAGTGAACAAAACTGAATGTGATACTTCAGCTTGGTCTCAGGATGATACTGTACAAGTGAGGCACCATGTCCTCATTTTTATGTTCCAAACTCCTTGTGCATGGAGGCCAACTCCCAGTCAGCCTTTCTTTTTTACATTTGTATCTGTGCACTAACTTTCAGTGAGTTGTGCACGTGGACAACTAAATCCCTTCGTTTCTACTCAGCTGTTAATCTTGTCATTAAGAAAATGTTGGTACGACTTCTCAAATTGAAATCGGATGATGACTCACATCCCCAAATTGAAATCAACTTGTTAAAATTTTCCCTACTCAATCTGTCTATGCACTTTTGAATCACGCTCACTCCATCAACTCAATTTACTGTATCTCGTAGTTCAGCGTTATCTGTGAACTTGGATATATAACCCTCTCTTTATCCAATTCATTGAAAGTTGAGGATTTGCTAGAGAGGTACATGTCATTGTGTGTACTGTTATTTAGATTATTTCCCCCATGGCTGTTATGTGCCACAAATAGCTGGAAATTAAAGTCGACAATGATGTGGTGACAAGTGGGCAATAGGGTATTTGGGAACATTGTAAACAACAGAACTAACAGTCTATAGCAAAATAACCAATGAGAATTAAGGATTAAGAAAGGAATAGAGGAAAGAAAGAAGAAATAGGTTGTGTAAGGGTCAATTCAGGTCTAGAAAGAGAATGGAGAAGAAAGAATGATTGAGAGAAAAATGTTACTTAATGCACAAATGCAGCAATTTCTTGAAACTTACAGGAAGGTTGCAGGTGAGCTGCTGCTTTTGCAAAGCTGACTGTGGAGTGGCGCAGACCATTCAGTGGGGTCTCTCTTTCTTGTCACAAATTGCTGGACGTTTACATCACTAATGATGCTATGTGCATTAATATTGTCATTGCACTGTTAGCAATTTCTGGCCTGGTATCCACACTGAAAAGCTGAAGCCAGAGTACAACTCCCTGGGAAACACCACTTACTTTATCTTGCCTATCACTGAATGTTCTCCATTGCTACTTTTTTTTTGCCAAATAAAAAATTATCAATAAATGTCACAAGTTTACTTCCAACTGCATACTTTTCATTTTTGCTAATAATCTCTTGTGAGGCAAATATCAAATATCTCTTTCTGGAAATTCATATCAAAAATATCCATTGATGCTCTGCCAACAACCAAGCGTGGAAACTCCTCAAATTCACGGTGAGTCATACATGTCCTAGCCTTTACAAATACCAGCTGATAGTCAATGATCACGGATGCCTGTCCAAGTGCTCAGTCACTTTGGGCTGAATCTTATTAAATTTTGGCAAATTGTCATTTTTTTCCAATTTCAAGAAGGGTTGCAGCGAGTTCTAGTTTTCTCATGTTATCAGCCCAAACTCACCCCCTTAGCTGCTTACCAAGTCCCCATGGTGTTCCTCTTGTCAAATGCATGCCCAATTCTACCGATCATCATAGTGGTAAATTTTTCCACTGACTTTCTATCCTCGGAACAGTTGATGCCATCTTTAAGATGTTGTTGCACGCCTTAAGAAGCACTGTCAATCTGGGGACACCCTGTACTGTTTGAGACATTTGCCTAGATTTGGCAGATAAGGGAAAGTAGCACTCTGCTTTTCCAGCAGGGACCTGGGGATCCTGGTTGTTGGTGTGGAGCATCCACTACCCCCAAATCAGGCAATAGAGGCCACAACACCAGACCCTGCCAACCTGGTCTGAGGTTGCCACTTGGGTCAATGTAGTCTCAGCTCTACCACTATCATAACTGATTACAACAACTTTGCTCATTTATGAAAACCGAAAGAACT